GCGAGACCCTGTCTCTACTAAAAAATATATAGAAAGAAATTAATTGGCCAACTAAAAATATATAGAAAAAATTAGCCAGGCGGCGGGGCGAGGTGGCTCACGCCTGTAATCCTAGTACTCCAAGAGGCCGAGGTGGGCGGATAGCTTGAGGTCAGGAGTTCAAAACCAGCCTGAGCAAGAGTGAGACCCCGTCTCTACTATAAATAGAAAGAAATTAATTGCCAACTAATATATATAAGAAAAATTAGCTGGGCATGGTGCGCATGCCTGTAGTCCAGCTACTTGGGAGGCGGAGCAATAGGATTGCCTTGAACCCAGAGTTTGAGGTTGCCGTGAGCTAGGCTGACACCACGGCACTCGTCTAGCCTGGCAACAAAGCGAGACTCTGTCTCAAAAAAAAAAAAAAGAAGAAAAAATTAGCCGGGCATGGTGGTATATGCCGTAGTCCCAGCTACTTGGAGGCTGAGGCAGAAGGATTGATTGAGCTAGGAGTTTGAGTTGCCGTGACTAGGCTGACGCACGGCACTCTAGCCCAGCCAACAGAGTGAGACTCTATCTCAAAAAAAAAAAAAAAAAAAAAAAGGCTGATCTGTAAAGTAAGGTCACTGTAGTGGATACAGAGAAAGTATTTATTAAGTGGAGACAAGGAGCTTGGAGCAGAGATTGAAATACAGGGATAAAAGAAGGCTGATTTGTAAAGTAAGGTCACTGAAGGGGAAAAAAACGGTGGGAAAAAAATTGCTTGTACAGAAATGGAAAAAAAAAAAAGGTTTTGTTGTGGAAAAGAAAAGAGAATGAGCAATGGCACCCCCTCTTTTGTGAAAGGAGAGGAAACAAAATGGAATGGATTCCTTGTTCACAAGAATATAATTCCAGAAAAAAAAAAAAAAAAAAAGAAAATCATAAGGAGAAAACATATTTACTATTCATTAAATAGAAGAGGATTATCATAAAGGTCTTCACGTTGAGTAGGCTGAGGAGGAAGAGGAGGGGTTGGTCTCTCTGTCTCAGGTGGCAGAGGCAGAAGAAAATCCATGTATAAGTGAACCCATGCAGTTCAAACCCATGGCAAACACTGTCTTAATTTGAAAAGAGTTTTGACCTCACGGGACCCCTAAAAAGGTCTTAGTCTTCTCTAGAGATGCCCATGCCTTACTTTAAGAGTCGCTGGACTATACTGTCTGCCTGGAGATAGCAAAAAAAACAAAAAAACACTGGACTGGTGAGACCATAAGCTGTTGTTCTAATTTCAGGATCTTGGTATGTGCTGTGTGAGGTGTACTTCCTCCCTTAGCCTCTAGCTTCTAAAGTTCTATTCGAAGCAACTTCTGTTGCCTTCAGGTGGAGAGAGAAGCTGGGAAACCTGACACCTCAGGGCTTTCCATAAAGGTCAAGGGGGCAGGTGGGCAGAGTACAATGCACTTATCCTGGTTTCTTCCAATTTTCTCAGTCCCACAGACGGCAACACAACAAAGATAAACCCTTCAAGTGCCACAACTGTCATCGGGCATACACAGATGGAGCCTCACTAGAGGTGCACCTATCTACACATACGGTGAAGCATGCCAAGGTGTATACCTGTACTATCTGCAGTCGGGCATATACGTCGGTGAGTGCTCGGTTTCTACTCTTTCCTATCTAGTAGTCCTGTAAGACTATAATCCACTTTACCCCATCTTTCTGGATAAAGATCTGTTGCAGTGAATACCCTGCCCCCTAATTCCAATTTAACCAGAACCAGTAAAGATTCAGAAATTAATTAGACCCATAGCTGAGAAATTTATGGTCCCTAAGCCTATAGACATTGATAAACCATGATTCTTCATTCTACTTAAACACAAAATAAAGCCACTTGAAATTTTGAGGGGAGCAAGATTGCAGTTAGGTGTTTTCCATTAGACTCCAGAAGAAATTGTAAAGTCCCATTCGGAGATCTTTGAGAAATATGGCAGCGTATCCCTTTGTTGAATATTCACAGTGACTTCTAAAGGTCCCCTTTTCCTTTCTACCTAATAGTGAGCATTGAAAGTGCTACTTGAGTTGTGCTTACTCGTGGCTCCAGAATATCGCTGTATAACATTGCTGTCCTTACAGCAAGTTAGAACCCAGGCCGCTAGTTACAAGTAGTCTCTTTTCCTTACATCCCTTTCATCCCTCAACTTCTTTTTACCATCTCCCTCAGGAAACATACCTTATGAAACATATGCGCAAACACAACCCTCCTGATCTCCAGCAACAAGTGCAGGCAGCAGCAGCAGCGGCAGCAGTGGCCCAGGCTCAAGCTCAAGCTCAAGCTCAAGCTCAAGCTCAGGCTCAGGCTCAAGCTCAGGCTCAGGCTCAGGCTCAGGCCCAGGCCCAGGCTCAGGCTCAGGCCCAGGCCCAGGCCCAGGCCTCCCAGGCATCGCAGCAGCAGCAGCAACAGCAGCAGCAGCAGCAGCAGCAGCCACCACACTTCCAGTCTCCTGGGGCAGCCCCTCAGGGTGGAGGGGGTGGGGACAGCAACCCCAACCCTCCACCCCAGTGTTCCTTTGACCTGACCCCCTATAAGACGGCGGAGCATCATAAGGACATCTGCCTCACTGTCACCACCAGCACCATCCAGGTGGAGCACCTGGCCAGCTCTTAGAGATCCGTGCTGCCACCCACTGGGAAAAGGAGAAAGAAGTTCTGGTCTCTCCTTTCTCCGGCTCTTGGTGGTAAAAATCCTCTTCCTTGACAAGCCTTGGCTCTATTTCCTTGGGCCTCAGGCATGGATACCATCCTTCTCAACTCCTCTTCAAAGGAACCTCAGCCCTCCTGATTGGCAAAGGAATCCTGAGCTGATGGTGTCATCCAGCAGCCTCCCCTCCCAAGCAAAGCTTTTAAAATTGGGGGTTGGTGCTCAAGGGAAGGATTTGCTATGACCTCATAGAAACTTGTCCAGTGTGGACACTTACCCTATCCTTAGCCTCTACATCCTCAAAGTTTGGGCTGATAGAAGACTAGAGGCTGGCCCTCCCAGATTACAGAAAAAGGGAGCCCTAAATGCAACCATCCTTCTGTTCTATTCTTGCCTGCAAAAGAACAGAGGTTTCCAATGTGCTCCAACCCGAGAGCCATTTTATTCTTCTACATGGTCTCAATTCACTTCCTGCCTACTGCTGGTAGAAGATTTGGGTAGGGATTAGACCTCCTTTTATTTGTAAGGGGGCAAGGGCTGACATGTGGTCCCCAAGGGGCCAGAGATTCCCAAGGTGGTCAGCATGGTTTAGAAGTGTGGGTTATGGTTTTCCTTGGAGCCTCTGTCCACCTTCTCTGCCAGCCAAGGTCCTATACTCTCAGCCTCCCAACCCAACCCCCAAGGAGCTATGGGAGCTTTGTTCTCTGTGAAACCCCAAAACAAGGGGTGCGGCAGAGAAGGGAGAGTTCAGGGCAAACACCAGGACTGGACTTAGCTCCCTAGGTGCCACGGTCAGATGCCGGACACGGATTTATATATAAATATATATATATAAATATATATATATACCCACTCATCACGGCCATCTTTGTTGTAACCATTTCTGTGTTTATAAATGCATTATCTCAGAATTTTCACATTTGATGCTTTGTTTATTTTATTTTTGTCTTTTTTTTCCTCCGCCCTGTCCTCTGGCCACGGCATTTTTATTTCTTTTTGTCTTTTTTTTTTTTTTTTTAATCATGGCAGATTTCAGAGAAAAGGAAATTTAAAAAAAAATCAGGAAACCAGTTGTTATAAAGCAATTTAAAAAAGAAAAAAACTTATGTACAAACCAAGGGGTGTTTTTAGAATATTGTATAGAAATAAATTCATGTAAAAGGATGAGAGGCAGTGGAGCTACTGATGTGAATGAGCATGGGGGAAGACTGGGGGGAGATGTTCAAGGTCAGTACTAAGGATTTATTCCAGAGCGTGCGTGACAAATGAGTGCTTGTGCGGTGAGCCTCCATGGTGTGATTCCTTCACATGAAGGGTACAATTTGTTACCTCTTAAGTGAAATCCTGGTTTATGAGGATTTCTACAAACATTGTCATGGGGCTTGCATTGCCTAAATATGTGAGAACAAGGTTTCAGTTATGTGTTAACAAAACAGCTAAGTTTCCTGTAGAAACAAACGGGAGCATGGCCTCTTGAAAGGAACTACACTCCTTCCTAAGCATCAGTGGAAGAGCCCTGTGCTAACTCAGCAAGGTGTGTACATACACATGTTCATTATCCAGAGGTATCCAGTGATGGAAACTATGACCAGTTAAGGGGTGCAGGATTGACTGGCGATGCAGGACAGCCATAATAGCTGAGGAGAAGAATGTGGTCAGGAAATGCGGACTTCAGCCCTGGCTCTACCATCAACAAATGTTGGCCATGATGTTTCTTCAACTGTTAAATGAAGGGATGTGACTAGATAACTTCCAAGATACCTTATTGAGAATTGAAAACCTTGCTTTAAGCCCTGAAAAGTTATGACCAAGCTCCCACGTTTGAGAACTGGTGGTTCACTTGGGACTGCTGGGCAACAGTGCTCCTTACATAGGATGTGGATAGTTAAGTAATGCCCACTGAATTTAGGCCTAGGTATCTTGTGTGAGCACCTGAGATCATGTCTCAATATGTAGTGTGACAACTATGAATTTGTGATGTATGACCAAATACGCCAATGCTTGTTGGCTCCCTGAATATTTACTGCTTTTTTTCTCACACTCTAACCAACTGTTTAAAAGGCCCTGACAGCTCTAACTTCATTACCACTATTAGAATCCATTCTTTTAAAGCTGTGGTCCCCAACCTCTGGGACACAGATTGGTATGATCTGTGGCCTATTAAGAACTGGGCCACATAGGAGGTTCAGAAGGGAGCTTTATTTGTATTTACAGCTGCAGCCCATTGCACTGTCCATTGTTTGCATCACCACATTAGCTCCGTCTCCTGTCAGATCAGTGTCTGCATTAGATTGTCAGAGGAGCCTGACCCCTACTATAAACTGTGCTTGAGAGGGCTCTAGGTTGCGTGCTTCTTAAGAGAATCTAATGCCTGATCTGAGGTGGAGCTGAGGCCATGATGCTAGGGCTGGGGAGCGGGTGGCTGCAAATGCAGATTATCATTAGCAGAGAGGTTTGACTGCACAGTAAATATAATGCACTTCAATTACCCTGAAACCATCCCCTACCCCTGGAAAAATTGTTTTTTTCATGAAACCAGTCTCTGGTGCCAAAAAGGTTGGGGACCACTATTTTAAAGGATACACTCACACTCACTGCAACAACTCTGTGAGGTAGTTACTGTTATTCTCATTGTACAGAAAAGGAAATAAGCATAGAGATTAAATTACTCAAGGGCATGGCTCTTAATTAGAGTGAAGTCTGCCAGATCTTATTGCTGTATCTTACCACCTGCACACTAGAAAACCTGGGGTTTTACCTTGCACTTCTTCACCTATCATGTAGCTGAAAAATCTGTCGTCTTATTAAGAAACCTGCCATGTGGCATCGATAATTATTATGAAGGATGTGTGAGTTAGGGGTGGCAACTATCTCCAAGATACTTTCTTAAACCACTATTAGGTTCTGGGCCTTTGACTTCCATTCCCTAGTGTTGTGGCAGCCTGTCATGCCCTTGATAGCTTTCCATTCTGGTGAAAAGCAGAGTTCACTGTACTATAGCTGACCAATGTGATGGCTGACATTTAACTGGCCCAGTTGTGATACTGCTTCATGCCACAATCCCTTCAGAATTGTGATATTAGCATCACGTATAAATTCAAAAAGGGAAACAAAAACATGAGATTTCTCCCTTACTGACAAAAGGGCAAGCCTCGAGATAATATTTTATAAGTGAAAGTGTATTTGAGTGCAAAGGACAGGAGACCTGATAAAATCTGTGCAGAATTACAGCTTCATTGTAATTCTTTGCATTTGTAAGTAGGAAATTCATAAATAATCTCTCTCAAGTTATAATGTTGGGGAGATGGTGTTTGTGTGAGTGAATAGAAATGCGGAGGTTTTAAATTACTCAAGGTCCAATACTCCTCCCCGACTTCAAAGAAACTTATAGCTGCCTTAGAGAAAGTCCTACTTCAGCTGCAACCTACTCTAATCATCAGCTTCCTATTCTGAAAAACAGAAAAAACGTTGGATTTTCTAGTTATTGAAAGGGGATATTTACGGGTAAAATCCTAAAGAAAACAGTCGTTCTCCCCATTACCACACATTCCCGATTTGGAGGGAAAAAACTTTGCTAGAGAATGCAAAATGGCGACCCCAGTGACGTAATACGTGCTCCGCTCGCGTTCTGGGGCCTCTGTAAGGGCGGAAGCGGGCTACCGCCGCCTCGCTACGGACGATCATAGTTACCCAGCAAAAGGAAAACGTTCAGGGTCGGGCGGATGTGTCCTGGAGGGTAGTTTACTAAGGGCGGAAGTTCTCTTTATGAGGGCGGAAAGGCTTTAACCCAAAAATAACTTCGGCTCCTGTCGCGTTTCAGTCACTTCCGGGGCGGATCGGAAGTTGCTTTGTTTTGCTTCAAGATGGCTGCGGGGATGTATTTGGAACATTATCTGGACAGTAAGAGCAGGCTGGAGGAGGGGGTCAGGGGCCATAGAGTGGTGGGGGGATCGTGGCCGAAAGGATTTATGGCCCTGAAGTCCCGGTGACGAGAAGGTCACAATTGTGAAGGGGTTCCGTGGGATGAAATGTCTGAGGGTATGAAGAAAGAGGGGGCGGGGCAGCAGGATCGAGGCCTCGCTGTTGGGTGTAGACGAGGGAGGGGCTGCGCGATGGGTTTGAGGGCTGTGTCTTGAAGGGCTAGTATGCATAGCCGGGAAGATATTTCTGGCCCCTATTCTACAGGGTCTCCAGCCCCAGAGTAGATTATTTTCCCCAAAGTCGTGAAGAATCGTATCACCCACTGCCATTTGGAGCAGCGGCAAAGACCTCTTTGAATCTCCTCCACTCAATTCTTCCTCAGAAGTGGCTTCTCATGGGGTTGGGGGTGGTGGTGGAGAGTGACCACTGTCACATGATGAGCTGGAACGCTTCTCTTTATGGAGTAAAGATTCAGATCCCACCAAATGAAAATTTAGTGTTATGTTTATGCCATTTGGGTAATCCACCTTTCACAAAGCCTATTGCCCTGTGCACTTCTATTTTTCTTAGAGTCTGGAGTCATTTATTCAAGACATTTTTATTGAGGTCCTGGTATGGGTCAGACATAAGAGCAGGAACTAGGGATGATAAACAATGAGTAAGACAGAGTGCCCATGCCCTCAAGATGCTTACAATCTAATAGGAAACAGATTCTGCAATAAAACAGTGTGACAAGTGAAATAATGTATATATGTTAAAAGGACAGTTGGGAACACTGGAGAAAGAGGACAATTACCTAGAGATGTAGGTAAAGCTCTAAAGAGGTGATGTTTTAGTGTTTTCTTAAAGGTTATTTCTTTGCCAGTGAGAAGAGAGGAAGGGAATTCCACATTGGGGAAAGCATCAGCAAATGTACTGTGATGGTTTTATGGCAAGGTCAAGGAAAAGTGAGGTCACAGTGTTTGATCTCTAAGGTGAGAAATTGGGAAGTGAGACTGGAGAGAGAGGCTAAGGCTACATTAGACAAGGTTTTTTAAGCCAAGCTAGGAAGTTTGCATTTTTTTTTTTAAGACACAGGGTCTCACTCTTTCCTGGGCTAGAATGTAGTTGTGTCATCATAGTTGACTGTAGCCTTGAACTCCTTGTCTCAAGCAGTCCTCCCTCCTCACCCTCCAAGTAGCTAGGACTACAGGTGTGCACTACCATTCCCTGCTAATTTTTTAAAATTATTTTTTTTAGAGATGTCTCGCTGTTTTCCCCAGGCTGGTCTGGAATTCCTGGCCTGAAGCAGTCCTCTAACCTCAGCTTCCCAGGCCTGAGCCACTGTGCCTGGCCAAATGTGACCTTTATAAATGAAAATAACTGATGTATGTATGGTAAATTGGAGCATGATAACTTTGATAACAGGGAGATCAGTTAGTGATGACAGTCCAGGTCAGAGACGAGAACCTGATCTTAGAGAGTGACAGAAGTATTCAGGAGTTAAATGTGGTAGGACTGACTGAATGACTAAGTGGTTGAGAGAGAATGAAGACTCTAAGCTGGATTCTTCCTTCTTGGAAAGCGGTATAGGCAATATACCATTGATAAGAGGAAATTCAGGAATAATAGCAACATATTTAATTCAGTTTAAACTTAATCATAGGAATGATAATTGTACCCATAAAAGTGAATGAGATTGTTCAGGGAAAACCAGTAAAGTGAGAAACTCAAGGGACTACAATGTAATCTCAAGAAAACATGAACATTTAAGGGACAGGCCAGGTGCAGTGGCTCACAGCTGTTGTCCCATCTACTTACTTGGGAGGTTGAGGCAGGAAGATTGCTGGAGGCCAAGGAGTTAGAGACTGGCCTGGGCAACATTGCAAGACCTCATCTCTTAAAAAAAAATTAAGTGAGCAGGCTAAGAAAAATGTCAATGTTGTAGTTACCAGAAGGTATATGATGAGATTTGGAATCCTAAAAGGAAGAAAGTTACTCAAAGAAGAGAAGATGGTGGCCGGGCGGGATGGCTCACGCATGTAATCCTAGCACTCTGGGAGGCCGAGGCGGGCGGATTGCTCGAGGTCAGGAGTTCAAAACCAGCCTGAGCAAGACCCCGTCTCTACTAAAAATAGAAAGAAATTAATTGGACAACTAAAAAATATATATACAAAAAATTAGCCAGGCATGGTGTCACATGCCTGTAGTCCCAGCTACTTGGGAGGCTGAGGCAGAAGGATTGATTGAGCCCAGGAGTTTGA